AAGTTGTGTTTTTGACATTTTTTATGAAGTCTATGATTGCTTCTGCTGTTTCAGATTTGTCCCATAAAAATTTGGTGAAAAGTTTGCTCTTTCCATTTATTCGTCTCTGAAGGGCCGACTAAATCAAGATGTAGGAGAGCGAAATAATTTTATGATTGTTTTGTCCTCACCGGTTTAAAGGGCTTCCTAGGAAACTTCGCTTTAATGCAGGTATCGCAAGTGTGTTGAATTGTGCTAACAGTTGAAATGGGAAATTGTGTACAATCTCGTTCTTGGCTAAAATGTTCATGTACAGTACTTTCCATTGATATGACAGAGTCGCTTATTCCAGGTTTCCAGTCATTATGGTTGGATTTCATACTGTATTTATGGATGGGCGTCCTGAGTATAAGTGTATAAGTTTCTTTTCTTCTTGCTCGACATGATGACATTTCCTGTTTCGTCAACTATTTTACAGTTCGCGGCATCGAAGATTATTTTGATTCCCCTTTTTGCCAGTTTAGTTACAGAAATAAGGTTGTTGCTCTGATCCGGGGCCAATGTTCCCTCTAATTTTTTTTGTAGATAAGCGGAACATATACTTCTCTGAGCAAAAAAATTTTCTGAGCATATATATAAAATCTTATTTTTTCCTATAAAAATTAAAATAATTAATTATAAAGTAGAGATTAAAATTCATTTTAAAACACACTTTTATACAAAATATTATCTTTTGTCAATGATTTAATGTATTTAATCGAAATATACGCAGCAATAATCATGTTGCTGACAGAATGAGAAATAAGTAAACAACAATTCAAATCAGTGTGTGCATGCTCGCCTGTGCGGCACATAAATTTTCATGCGCGGCAAAAATTTGAGCATTGCGAGACCACGCAGCCGCGCAACTTAGAGGGAACATTGTCCGGGGTATATAGTATGTCTTCGAGGAGTATTCTATTAGAGTCGTAGTCTCTTATTTAATGCAACTTCTATGCCTTCTGAGTGTACGACATTATTATTGGCCATAGTGATTGTTTTTCTATCTTTTCTCATTTTCTGTAACCATTGGGGATTTGGGGTCATGTGACAGTTCGCCCCACTGTCTATGATCCAGCATGTATCTGGCTCATCGTGTGTGTTAAAGTAATTATTCGCAGTCGGTTGTTACCCTCGTTAGTTGGTTTTAATCCTTTCTGTCGGCTATCATCCTTTCTAGCTGAGTTTTCTCAAGCTATTTTCGAGGTTTTGAATATGTTCTTTGGTTATCGAGATCGAAGTTGTCTCGTTTGTCTCTATTCCTTACTATGTTAATCGGATCCAAACAGCATTTAATTGCCTTGTGATTTCATTTACGGCAGATGTAGCACAGCATTTCACTTGTATAAGATTTATTTTATGCATTGTCTTATGAATTTTTGTAATTCGGTGGATGATATACTATGTAAGCTGCAAGGTTTTTCCTCTGTCCAAACCCATGTTTTTCTCATGTCAGAGATCTTAGGGTTTCAGGTTGTCGAATTGCATCTCTATTAGGTTGTTCTTTTGCGGAAAATTTTTCAGTAGTGCGGTGATGAATGTCTTCTTGTATTTCAGCTCCCCTTATATTAGCACTCTCTAGAAATTTTTCTCCTCTTAATAGATAATTTCGCCACATCTCATCACGGTTCATTACTAATCTCGCCACCTTGTTTCTGGCCTCTATCACTTGTCTCCTTAGGTCCCCTTCATTTCTTTCTCTCAAGTGGGTCCAAATTTGTTTCGCTGTTCTACACGTTATGATAAGTGCCACTTGTGTGTTGTCCATCGCACATGTTAAAATGCCTTTAGCTGGGAATCCGTTTTCTTCCATTTCGACTGTTTGTCAGGATCTGTAGGTTGATCGTCTGTTAATAAATTTCCTAGATCTCTATTTTCTAGGATGGCTAATATACGGTACTTCCAGCTTGTAAAATTGCAACCTGTTAACTTCGGTAGCTGTCCATGTTCTATTTCGGTCATTTTATTAGTTATAACGTTTCAGTTTCTAAGCTAACAAATTTGAACTTACCATAGTTGATCGTTCAATCTGGTTGCATCAACGTTAGAATTTTCTTCCTGGGCCTATAACACTTTTTTTCTGGTACTAGCGTAGTATAATTTCTATACAAACAATCAATTCAAGTTTCTAACAATGGAACATTGTACATTGTAGGTTACAAAATCCTCACGAGCTTTGCATGGACTTACATGGATGAATAGCGCACTTTGTGCCAGAATGCTAATGCTACCATCTCATTAGAGATGTATTCACCGCTCTTCTGTAGCCAAATTATAGTTACAACAATATTATATATGTAAATATTTATATTTATATTTATATTTATATTTATATATATACGCACTTCTGTGCATGAATATGCTTGTGTTTGTTGTTTACTNATATATATATATATATATATTCATGCACAGAAGTGCGTATATTTATATATATACGCACTTCTGTGCATGAATATGCTTGTGTTTGTTGTGTGTTTCGGTATGATCGGACAACAGGGTGGTAGAACAATAAAATTTTTTTTTCATAGTAAAAGGTTTAGGGGTGAGCAGTTATAAGAGTGCTATGTCATTTATACTGAAAAATTTTACTTAATACAGTATTGTCATTTAAAATTTTATAAAGCTTATTCCTTCTTTAGAAATTAAGCCTTTTGGCATTTTATAACAATTAATAATATGAAATATATTTTTTTATTAAAGTCTAACTACTAATAAAGCAAAAAATATGAAGTTTTTGCAGAGGCCTTCATGTTTATCACCAAAAACTATATTTTTTTGAAAAAATACATGCAACTCTTCTGGAATTTAGTAGTAAAAGCAAAAAATTTTGAATAATAGAAAATTGATGTTAACATTTTTATCCATGGAGCATGTGAAATGCCATTGAATACAGGTTGTATCTAGTTAGTCACTCGTTAGAGGTTGAGAAACACTCTCTAGTTATTAAAATTCAGAAACTAATTTGTCATCTCACTACAAGAAATTTATTTGTGAAGTTCTGTTGGGTCCCAGGCCACGTGGGTATAAGAGGTAATGAAGAAGCTGATACAGCTGCTAAGTCAGCAAACCCTTCATAGCATACAATGCATATTGAAGGAGGTGATTTGAAGCTAGTTGTTAAAAAANCTATTATACGGTACTTCCAGCTTGTAAAATTGCAACCAGTTAACTTCGATAGCTGTCCATGTCGTATTTCGGTCATTCTATTCGTTATAACGCTTGTTTTTAAGACAAAAATTTAGGCTTACCATTGTTGATCGTTCAATCCGGTTGCATTGACGTTAGAATTTTCTTCCTGGGCCGATAACCCTTTTTCTGGTATTAGCGTAGTATAATTTTTATACACACAATCAATCCAAGTTTCTAACAATGGAACATTGTACATCGTAGATTACAACATGCTCACAAGCTTTGCTTGTACAGTACTTACATGGATGAATAGCGCATTTCGTGACAGAATGCTTATTGTGCCATCTTATTAGAGACGAATTCACCGGTATATCGTAGCCAAATTATAGCCACGACAATATTATATATATATATATACGCACTTCTGTGCATGAATATGCTTGTGTTTGTTGTTTACTTCGGTATGATCCGACGACAGGGTGGTAGAACATTAAAAAAAAATTTCATAGTGAAAGGTCTAGGGGTGAGTAGATATAAGAGTGCTATGTCATTTATACTGAAAAATTTCACTTAATACAGTATTGCGATTTACAATTTTTAAAAAAGGTTATTTTTCTCCGGAAATTATTATCAATCAATCAATCAAGTTTTTATTCGTATTAAGGCAGTGGCCTGTTACAAGGGATGTATATTAGTAACAATCAGATTTTACTATCGCTAAACAATACATCTTCATCAACCCGAGTTAAACCAATATCTCGATCACATGGACTGATAAGTTTAAAGTACAACTTGGTAAATACACATTAGAGAGGATCAATTTATGCTAAAAATGAAAGCGTTTTTACTTTACACGTGTACAATATAATTAAATTTCTATTATTGTTTAGTTATTAAAATTATTACATCAACTTGAGCTTGCGATCATATTTGTATTGTCTATAAATTGTATCGATCATGGCTATATGGAATACTACATACTCAGCTTTTTTCGTTAGTACATTTAGGTAAAAGGTATAGAAAAAGACTCTGTGCTAGCTCCTTTGAGTCTTTACCTCCGGAAATTTGCCTTTTGACATTTCATAACAATTAATAATATGAAAGTTATTTTCTATTAAAATGTAATTACTAATAAAGCAAAAACTATAAGTTTTGGCCAAAGTCATCAGGTTTCTAACCAATCATCATATATTTTGTAAAAATACATACAACTCTTCTGGAATTTAGTAGTGAAAGTGAAAAAACTTTGAATAATAGAAAAATGATGTCAATATTTTTATCAATGGAGCATGTGAAATGCCATTGAATACAGGTTGTATCTAGTTGGTCACTGCTGAGAACTCTGCAACAATTAAAAATAGACTTGATTGTCAGTGGAATTTCATCAGTATAAATCATAATCAAAGTTGTAAACATCTAGAATAGTTGCTTTGATCCAAGTTCTGAGAAATAAATAATTAATTATTATGCTTTACTTTTAAGCATTTGCATATAAATAATTACACATATATTATACAATAATATATACATATATGTATATATGTAATTGTATAAGGAAACTGAAATAAACTGAAAGTTTCATTTTTTATGAATATAGAAAAATGTTAAATATATATTGTATATTTAACATATTTCTATATACATAACAAATGATACTCTTGACGTATTTCACTTTACTTATACAGTTATTTAAGAAATAATTAATTATAGAATAAAAATGTTTCAGTTTGCATTTAATTTTACATGTAATTACTTCTCTTGACGTCAAAAATACTGTATAACAATTACATAATTATTACATTTAAAAAGGCATTTTTTAAATATTTAAATCATATAGAAATTTCTATTGACAGCGAGAAGTCCAGTATTTTCTCATCTGAGTGTATCTCTTTATGGACTAACAACAATTAGAGCCTTTAAAGCTGAAAGTAAATTTAAATCCACATTTAATAAGTATCAGGATAATCACACTGCAACGTGGTTCATTTATGAGGCTTTAAGTCAATGGCTTTATATATATGGTGGTTTAATTCCTGTTATAAATCTGATTGCTACTATCATTATTTTCAATTATTCTATTGAAGCAGGTGGGTGAATACATTTAAATATAACTAGTTTATAATATAAGTAAATTTGAATTTATAATTTTAGCATCAGATGATGCCGGAAGTCAAATTGGACTTGTTATTAATTATGGATTATTTACATTTAAGTATCTTCAACATCTTATTGGAATGACATCTGAAGCGGAATTTCAGGTATTCTGTATTTCAAAAACCCAATAATTAAGTTAAATATTAAAACGATCTGCTGGGTGTTTTATCAGGCTATATGATATAATTTGAACCAGATAAACTTGTTGCCAAAAAAGGTCAAACATAAATACCCATATTTTTTCACTAAATTATTAGATAACGTAAACTTTGATATAGAAATTTGACAGCTTGAGTCAAATTCAAAACGAGACGAGACGTGATTGAATTTTCATAAACCGTTTATATTACGAGTAAAACCAAGATACAGTTACAAAAGTTCACAAAATAAAACAATTACAATACTTCAAGTGTAACAGAGTTCAAACATCACGTAAATCACGACAACAGGTCTGTCGAAAAAAACACCTTGCGACGAACTTCTTCCCCCGAGGAAAGGTCCTTAACAAGTCGGTGAGCCGAAACAACTCCTTCAGAAAGTCCGATGAAACTCTTAATAATGGACTACGATGTGCTTTTGCTGACTTCTGGTCAACACGAGTTCTATTAGCAGGTTGTAGGCGAAATCTTAAAATCTCGCTCAAACTTAGTTTTTATATACGGATTGGAGCATAGGGAAATCCATCAATCAGCACCTAGTAGCTCTATCGGAAGTCCGCAGGTCCTACGATGTGTTTCGGCCAATCCGCGGTTGAGTTTCCAAAATCGCCTGATTGGCGTTCCAATGTTAACAACCGTCGTTCGTTTGAAAAGACGGAAAAGAGCGGAAAATCGTACGTCCTGACGATTGTATTCCGACAGCTCGTTTTATATTTGAAGTATTATTTATTTATTATTTACTCAATATTGTTAGGATATTTTTTGTTTTATTTTTGTTATTATCAGCTGAGGAAGAAAGTGAAATATTGCACTTTCCAGAATACATACTGTTTCACACTACATTGAAATTAACATGTTGTATTCCCATCAATAGAATTTAATAATACGTTTGCGATTAAAACGTCTGCTCTCTTAATACTCAGTTTGTTACAAGTACAATAATCACGCAGCATATTTAGTTTAAAAAGTGATTATTTATTTATTTGACAAAAACTTAATAATGAATTATGTTATTTGATTAATGATTACTAATTATTGTTATTATATCAGATCGTAATTCTGTATATAAATACTACTAAAAAATTAATTTTGTCAAAAATTCCATAAAGTATTCAGTGTTTGCCAATTCATACTTTTCCAGACAATTCAAAACGAATCGTATTAACTTGCCCGAGATATCTCGGGATATGTTTTTAAGACGCTGTCAATTATCATATCAACTTATTAAAAACCATCTTGAAAATTAATAGGAAATATCAAACTTATTCACTACTTGCTGTTACCCGAAGCTTTGCCCGCGCAAATTTTGCAAGCAAACCCTATTTATATTTAGTATTTCAACAACCATAGTAATTGTTATATAACACCTACTGCTGAGAATGATGAAAATTGCCGAGAATCAAATGAACTATTTTCAATTTAATCAATTTTCTGGAACGTTTACAATCGTTTTATAATCGAACCAATATGCAATAACAAATTCGAATTTAAAACGGTTCGAATATTTTAAAAATCGAAATACATAAAAATACAGTAGATCCCCCTATAAAAGCGTTTCCTATAGTTATGATTCCTATAAAAATTGTGGCACTATCCGTAAACAACAGTAAAAATAACTCCTATAATACGTAAAACGTCATCGGGCAGCCGAACTACTTACCCGCCGTCCGTAGCGCCACGCTACGGAGAGATTTCTATCGTCTGGACAGTATTATATAAATTATATATAAATTAGGTACTGTACATATAATTATATATTAATTATATATAAATTAGGTACTGTATATATAATTATATATTAACTTAATTTATTGTAACTTTATTATAATTAAATATATATTTTTCGCCGTCTAGCGTCACGCTACGGCGAGTTAGGCGACCTATCGTCTGTTTAGTACTGTAATTTTATACATTTCTTGTGAAAGAAACATTTCTTATTTAACGGCCATAAAAATTATTTATATTAATGATGTCTCCAAAGGTCAACGAAGTTTTCGCAGAAAAATAATATCAGAAATCGCGGCCGCGGTTTGATGCGCTGTTCCGCGACGAAACCAAGCTTTAGCAACGGGCGTAGTCGAACGGTACACACTCGGTAAGCAATCCTACAATTTTTTGTTTATAACGTAGTTTATACGGATTATTTTCAAAAAAATATACGTATTTTGGAAATGTTGAGTCGAATTAGTCTAGAATCGATTAATTTTATGAAAGAAAACCTTTCAAACAGCCGTAGTCCGTAAACTATGATTCCTACAAAATTGATTCATAAAGAACGGAACGTATCTACCGTCTTATAGGGGGATCTACTGTATTTATAACAATATCTGAAATGTTATTAATTATATACACCTAAGTACTCGATGAAGACTAAATCCTCTTCCTCTCCCCCGAGGGGGAATGTCGAAAAATCCCTTCTTAGTGTGCATTCTCATGGCATACCCTACTAAAACGCAGATAAAAACAAAAAATCGCATTTAAAATAGTAAGTAGATGCCGTTTTTCCGGTTAAGCCTTAATGCTCTCCCTCTCCCCCCACTTGAGAATTTCGAAAAATCCCTTCTTAGTGTGCGTTTTCATGATGTACCCTAACTGTGTACCAAAATTTACCTCTATAGGTCCAGCGGTTTGCTCTGGGCGATGATGAATCAGTAAGTGAGTCATTAAATCAGTCAGGACAAAAAATTTTATATATATAGATAATTTAGAAAGCTAATATGGACATAAAATTTCTCAACTAACTATCATGAAAATGATAAAACTAGATTTAGACTCTTAATTCTTTTCGTTCGATGGTTCTTTTCATATTAAAATTTAAATAACAAAGTTCTGCCAAGACGGTTAGATGGTATCAAGAAGACTTTCGTATGTCACCAGTTACTATTCTAGAAAAATTTTATATTTTTCAATTTGAAAATTTTGTGTTTTTTAAAAGGACTTTTTAGCGTTTTGGCAGCTAGTACCCTAAAAAGAAAGGTCGGTCGACAGGATTGTGATGTATGAAACAAAGAGCTAATCTGTCCCTGAGCTACGTGTAAAGAGCTAAATGGTGGTGCCTGTTGGGCGAAATTTGTCTTTAAAATGTCAGTTTTAGACTATAAGAATTGAGAAATAAAATATAGTAGAGCGTCGATTTTCCGAATCAATTGGGGACTGGGGTTATTCGTATAACTGATATTTCGGATAACCGATTTATATACGAAAAAATAGTTTAACGTATCGGATGTTAAAATTTTTATCCGTTGCGTGTCGCTTCGCGTTGAATTTTCGTCGATGTTAAGCCTAACAAAGACTATTCTATCGTTAAAAATTATTTTTTTATTTTGTACAAACAAAATAAATATATTGAAAAATATAAAAACAATAAAAAATTATACTTCAGATGTTAATTTAGTACCAAAAACGTAAAATATTTGAGTAGCCCAAGACATAGCCAAAGATTGATGCACCATAGCACTGGCGAAAATTTAAATTTCCCAACTGGAATTTTTTCGGATGATTGACTTTCGGAAAATCGACGCTCTACTGTATATATTAAGCAAATTTGTAAATAGTTTCCTATTTTCTTTTTGCTACATTCTTGAATTTCGTAAAAGTAAATTTTACTGCGTTTTAAATGTTTTTAATATGAGTTACTATTCTTTCCTTCTTGCATATATCCATAAAGCCGAACATTTATATTTGTGTAATACAGCACAACTGTTTTTTATTTTAATTTTCATTCTGTCTTTATTTTGTTCGATCTATCATCAATTTCAACAACAATTTCTGTACATGAATAAATTTATTATCAAAGTACTGTAAAAAGCATTTTAAACCGGTTAAGCCAACAGTTTGTTAAATGCTTTTAATTCAGTAATTACAGAAAATTTATTAATTTGTTCATGTAGGAATACAAATAATAATGTGCAGAGAATCAGAAGTATCGTATTTTTATTCATTTGGAAAGTAACGAGTAGCTATAAGTAAAATAAAATACCATTACCAGAAATTTTATCATTAATACAATTTCTATCTTTATAAAATGTATGTTATATTAAATAAAAAGATTTATGCTAAGTTTTTCATTTATAACACACTTGCGATTAATCGATATAATATATTTATTTAGGAAATATTTTGATTCAAGTAATTACATCTACATTATTTTTTTAAAGAGCTATACTACATTTCGATGTATACGAGTACATACTACTATATATCATCTCATATAAATTATGTTTACAGAATATATTAATCTGAATTTCTAAAAATTTATGAAATATTTATACTTTTGTATTAAATATTTTTTAGAAATATAATTTATGTAATTTTAAAATTAATATTTTCTATAAAACTTATCATTTTTATATATACTAATAAGTTATATACTAATAATATATACTAATAATAATCACGACAAACTAATAAAGAATGAATTAACATTTCACGTTAATTCATTCTATGTTAGTTTGTCGTGATTATTATTAGTATATAGTATTAGTATATATTATTAGTATATATTATTAGTAAGCAAAAGATTTAAAAATTAATAAAACTGTTTATGTATATTTTTCTACATCACGAGTATCGATATTTTTGATGTGGCCTGTATATATTTAGTTTGCTACATCATTTTCTTCTAATTTCACGCATGTTCGTGCATTAGGCTACTCAATTACCTTAATAAATAGTGAATTTTCCAGATGAATTCGGTCACACGCATTCTGAACTACAGCAAATTGGAATCAGAAGCATCATATGAAAGTTTACCCGATAAACGGCCATCCTCGGATTGGCCACAAAAAGGGGAAATTCTCTTCGATAATGTTTCTGTACAATATTCCAAGGATAAAAACATTGTTTTGAAGAACATAACATTTTGTATTCACTCAGGAGAAAAGGTAAAACATTCAAAGTATTGTTAGTAATTATTATATGAATGATTTTTATTACTTATTATTAACAGATAGGAATTGTTGGGAGAACAGGAGCTGGAAAGAGTTCTATAATTGCTTCGTTATTTCGCATGATTGAGCCAACAGGAACAATAACTATCGACGGAATTGACACAAAAGATCTTGGTCTTCGGGATCTACGTAGTAAAATATCGATAATTCCACAAGTAAATAATAATTAATTCACTTAGAACTATTCCTACTTAGTAATATTTTTCTTTATTGTAAAAAGTGACTTTTCTCGTTTTTACTACATAAAGGTTAATTGTTTAAATAAGATAATATACATAATTTAATGATATTTTATATTGGTGAAGTTAAGTTGTTAGTGTTCAGTTTCGGGTATCCCAAAAGTTATCCGTGGATATTAATAAAGCGGAAAAACTTTTTTGTAGAGGGGTTTCCAGACTTGTTGGCACTCTTTGTGTGCATGGTTGAACCTGTATAATGTTTTCTATCATATATCCAATGGGGCAGGAAAAGTTTAAAAAGATGCAATCTTATAGAAAACAAATATATAGCGATGAAAGACACAATTTAATTATTTTTAAGATAGACGGCTTATGTATCTTTTAACACATTTTTGAGATATCGTAGTTATATTTTTCAACAGTGTAGGGCATCTCATTTAATAAAAAAAATTTGTTAACTAAGTAATCATTTATAAAGTATATGTCTTTGTTTCTAGGATCCGATGTTGTTTACTGGTCCTCTTCGAAGAAATATCGATCCATTCAATGAATATTCGGATGATCAATTGTGGAAAGCCATAGAAGAGGTTAGAAATAAAGAAATATTTTTATGCTATTCAATAAAAAGTATTGTTTGTGTGGTTTCTCACAGGTACCATTTTCATATTGTCCAAATTCACGAAAAATCACAATATTTCATATCTGCAGTTTGTGTATCTAACAATATAATACAGTCGTGGATTGAAAAACAAAATTTGATCTAATAATGCAAAAATTAAATATATTAAATTTTATCTCTGTAAGTTATTTCAGGTTTCACCAACTCATTTTGAGTTTAAAATTTCAAGGAGTTTTTTGAAATTAAGTGTTGGAAAATGTACTTACTTTCACGGAACAGAGTGAATAAATCCTGCCCAACCCTACTTTAAACATCAATAAATTGCGAATACTTTTATAACTCTAGAACTATGTTAAAAGGCAATGTTATTGTTTTATTTTTTTAGGAACAAGGCTGACTTTAATACATAACCAATAGTTCTGTTAGATCTGACTAATATAACTTTATATATAATATCATGTTTAATTTTATATACTTTAATTACACAGTTTTTAAGCAATACATGCAGAAATAATCGCTGTTTGTATGAATAAAAACAACTTTAAAAATTTGCTGATTGTTCAGGCAGGAATATTTAATATTCAAGAAAAAACCGATCGTAAAAGAATGCATGGAACAGCAAAACTTTGGCAGTTTATTACATGATATTAAATGAGCAAATTAAATGCTATATAAAAACGGTCTCAAAATCATACGCAGTAAAAGCCAGTGAAGTAAATGTATATCAGACGTGGGACATATTCAATATTATTCGGTAAACAAAACATAAAGTAATTCGAAAAAATTCTTCAACTGAAAACCTTTTGTGGCCAGACCTTTACTACTTACGTAAACAGTTAGACACTTGAATTTTTCTGTATTAACCCTCGCAAGATGTTAGAAAAATTGTTTTTTTAGGCTAATGTATGATGAGCGTGAGATTTCTTGTCCGTGGTATTTCACGGACATCAAGGGATTGGAAAAAGTTATAAAAAAGATTAAGAAGATTACACATAAGAAAAAGTTATACTGTAAAGATTTNCGAAGGGTTTATAGTAGGGTGAATATTAGCTGGCCGTATATTTTTAAATATTTTTTAAAAATTAAAATTTTTATTGCGATTTCCGACCCCCTCGACTTAATTAAACTTATATATAATAAAATATGTTAATTAAAAAAATTAAAAGACTATTGGAAGTCGTTTTTGACATCAGAAAGTAGCTTTTAATAACTTTACCGAGGTCAAATACGTGCACTACAACTTTAAAATGATTAATTAAACTTGATTAAAAAATCCCATTGAAAAACAATTAAGCGTTAATCGCGCGTCAGTAAAGGTTGATTAAAATCGCAATAAAACTTTTTGCGCGGGTATAAATTTTTGAAAAATCTGGAGACTTAAAAAACATTCCAAAAATCAAAATAAAAATTTTAAGTGGCCTTACGACCAAGTTTTTTGTAACGCTATGTAAACTTGACGAGTTTTCTTGTCAATAGGAATGAAGGTGAAGTATAATTTTTATGGCCGTTAAATAATAAATGGTTTTTAGTAGGACTGCTGCTTATTTAAACTCAACGGTGTGTGCAATATCCGCTATTGGTCTAGATTCGATCAATCCTGTCGCGACACCAGTCGACGATGACGTTTTACCATATTATACGATTTTCTTTTAGCTTGTTTATATTAATACGGTTGCAATTTTTGCCGTTATATACGAATCCGTATTATATATACACGTTTTATCGGGGGTCTACTGTATATACTCTGGATTTTAGTAGTGTCTTGCCAGTGTAAATAACACCTTTCCAGAAAAGCTATATTAGTTAGGTTCGAATTAGGCTTAACTCACAATTAGACGTTTTATGTTCTAATTACGATACGATTTCGTTTAAAGCGAATCGTAATTAATATTATATATTATAATTAATCGGCTTGTATTATAATTATAATATAAGCAGATTAAACCTACAGAACTTCGTATAAAAATTAAGTTTCTCTAGGCTAATCCAACCTCGTTAGTGTATCTAAAAAGGTCCACACACGGCCTTCTCAACTAAATTATGATCCAAGAAAGCAATGGGAAACTACTTGGATTATTCTTCCCTTGTAAACTTCATTGATGGCAAGCAAAATAAACCACGGCCCCGAGTTCCGGCGTCCCTTAAATGAGACAGGGGTGCTAAGAATCTCTGAGCTTGCATCGAAGAATTCTCTAAAAATAGCTACATGGAACGTCAGAAGCCTACTACAACCAGGAAAACTAGCCAACGTTTTACAAGAAATGGAACGCATCAACATAAACATACTCGGTCTAAGCGAAACTAAATGGCCTGGAACAAAGAAGTTTATATCAAACGACCACCACGTCTTCTGTTCTGGAGGAGAAGAGAACACCAAGCAGACGTACGGCGTCGCTTTCGTTGTCCACAAACAACTGGCCAACAAAATCACCAGTTTCATCCCAATATCAGAACGAATCGCACTAATACAGTTAGCAGGTAATAAGATCAACCTGAACGTGCTCCAGGTCTACGCACCTACAGCGAACAAAGACGATCAAGAAATAGAATCGTTCTACGACCAGCTAAGCAACACCTTAAAGCCGTTGAAGAAGCACGACATTACGGT